CCTCCTCTTTGGTCTCCCTTCATCTCTCCCATCACCTTGTTCTGGCCACGGGGCAGGTTGAGTTCTCTGGGCTGATGTTGCCGGAGCAGGGCGCCCTTGTGAACTGCCTGGGAGCTCCTCTTTTGGCAGAGCTGGGGCATACCTGAGTGAAGGGGCTGGGAGCGAGGCCAGAGCCCTGCCATTTGAGGGTGTAAACTGCCAGCCCAGGCTGCTGGGTGGTCGCGGTGAAGAACTTACCCTGCCCAGAGCTGTCTGTATCCCATGGATTGTGGCCAGCCGCCCCACTAGACCTTCAAGGTCAGGGCAAGTGTGGCTGGCTGGCCTTCAGTGGCTTGGATAGAGTGCCCAGCCCTGATTGTGGACCAGTGCTGAGTAATGACAGAGTTCCCCCCTTCTCTGGAGAAGGATTGAGAAATGGACCATGAAATGCATTCCCCCTGCCCCCACACACCCTTTAATTGAACTTTCTTTGATTTAAAGAGCAGTAGTGGAGTAGTGGGTTATGCTTGGGCTGCAAGGTTGGAACCTACCGGCCGCTCTGAGGGAGAGAGATGCTCCTGTAAAGAATTACAGGCTCAGAAACCCAAGAGACAGTTCTAGTCTGCCTCATAGGATCGCTGTGGCGAGTCAGCATGGGCTCAGTGGCAGCAGGTGAATTACTTTAAGGACAGGTCCTTCTCTGCTTATCGATGTGCTTTGTGTTGAAATGAAGGTGTTGAGGGGAGCACGTTTCTTGGTTAAAGAAGTCTTTACTTACTTGGGTGAAATACATAGTAGGTGGTAGCTAGTGTCTGGCACCGTCGGTCCCCTCCAACCCCCAGTGTAGGAAGGCTGGAGACCGCTGTCCAGGCTTAGCCTGCAGGCTTGCCATCGGGCAGAGCAGACTTCAGAGTGGCTGCTCCAGGCCGAGAGCCCTTGGGACCAACTTCACAGAGCAGAGGCTGTGGGGCCGTAACCATTAGACCCAGCAGACCTGTAGCGGAGAGGAGCCTGCATGGCCTGGGCCTGGGCCTGGGCCTGGGCCTGGGGTGTTCAGGAACCAGGGAGAGGCACAACCGGCTTGGCTTGTGTATTCGAATTCTCTTTGGTTTGGGCTCAGTGGAGAGCGTTAGAAATTGGCCATCTGTCTTCCTGTGGGACAGAAAGGGGCGGCATCCCAGGGAGCTTCTTGACCTCAGACCGTCTGTTGGCAGTCTGAGCCCTGGCACTTGTAGTCTGTCCAGAGGGTGCCATCCTTTCCGTCTCCAACCTCCCTGCTTCCTGCAGAGCCCTCTTTTTGGTTGATAGCAGCTATGTGGTTATCGGGCTGGGGAGGGGGTATCCATCTCAGGGTTCGAAGTCCCCCCCCCACTTTTCACTCTTTCTCAGGGGTTCCTGTGTGGGTGATGGTGTGGGGTTTGGCCTTTTCTGAGACTCAAACCCCTCCCCCCAGGGACCAGCCTCCCGCCCTGCGGGGGAAGGGGGGAGGGGGCAGTGCCTGGTTTTCCTAAAGTGGGACCTGGCAGTGTGGCAGCAGCTGTTGGTCACACCCTGACCAAGTTCATTGCTATACTGTAGGTCTTGCCCCTCCAGCTTCTGAAAGGATTAGCTCTTAGGTGGACGGTCGAGGTGGTTTGGAGTTGACCAAAGTGGGGACTCCGGAGAGTAGGATTTGGTGAGGGTGGAGGTGCAAAGGAGGACTCAGAACCTGGGGTGGGGGGTGAGGCCCTTTGTGCCTCTTATTCCTGGGGGAAACTTTTTTGTAACATCTCTTGAGCATTGATTTCCCCCTGCTCCCACCCACGGAGTGGGCAGTACAGAGGGTTAGCTGAGGGAACGTGCCTCGGGTCTGGCCCATGGTATAGGTAATCACGGGTCCAAAAGGCCCGCTCTTCTTTCTCGGTAATGGTGCCTCCCTCCCTGCTGACTTTTCTCTCCTCTTGCGGGGCTCCTAAAAGAATAGGGCTGGAGTGGGTTACAGATGGGCTGCTAAGTCTGAGGTGTTGGCGTTTTGAACCCCAACAGTGTGGCTCTCTGCTCTCCTGAAGTTACAGCCTCGGGGACCCACGTGACCCTGAGGATAGGGTTGCTGTGCGTTGAAATTCCTCAGGAGCATTGAGTGGAGAGGCCACATGCCAGGGAAACTCCCCTTTCATGGAACAAGGCTGTGACCTGATTCACAGGGTGGTGCATCCCCCTTTCCCCCCCCATCACCCTTACAGTAGATCCCACTTTAATCCCCTTAACTGTCACCTCTCTGTGAAGAGATTCGTGGCCCATGTCACATTTGGGGGTGGGGTGGGGGGCGTGCGTGATTCCATCGATGGCTCCGGGAGCTTCAGGGTGTAAGGGACCTACCTTCGTGTGTTTGGATTGAAGCCAGAGAAGCTGGCAGAGCAGAGACATAGGTTTCTATGGAGTGTGGAAAGTTCATTTCAAGCACAACGGGATTCTAACTCCATGGCCACACTCTAAAAGGGAAGTTAGCTGGACTGGTAGAACTGTTCTTTAAAAAGGAAATGCAGCGGGGGTGGGGGTGGGGTGGGAGGGAAGGAAATGCTGACAGAACTGGAGAAGGGGTGTCCTCCTAGGGGGGTGGGGCTGAGGAAGGACTGAGCCAGGACTGAGTCTGACTGCCAGGCTGTTCTCATGAGGCCCTGCTCTGATGTGGCAAGAGAAGGGGGTTCGTGGCCCCCGAGACAGATTTGAGGGAGCTCCGAGGAGCACCAGGAAGTCCGGTGGCGGGAGTGTGCCAAGCCAGTGCAGCAACTCCAGACCATGAGAGCCCTTGCGTTTCTCTGGAGAAGAGGAGGGAGACTGGGTAGACCAGGGGGCGGCACACATGTACCGCTTGGGAGCCACACTCGGTTCTTTCCGTACAGACATGCGGCTCTGAAGAAAACTCAAAAAATGTAAAGGATAGTAGTATTCCGATAATGGTGACTTCATGTGCTTGTCAAAATATATTTAAAGCTCTTGAATAATTTTCAAATTGTTGTGAGGGACAGCATTGGGGTGGATTAAACTAGCGTGGAGACAGCTCTGGGGCCCTGGTTGGAAAGGCCGCTGTAGCATGTTGTGCGGACTTGCTCACTCCCAAGGACCACTGGCCTCGGGGGTGCTCTCGGAATGACAGAAGGGCAGGCACAAGCACAAAGTCGTTTTTTCAGAGACATCTTTGAAATGGCACACGTGTACGCTTGTTGTCAATTTCTGACGGTCCCAGA